CCAATTGATTAGATGTTTCTGTCTATGGAGCCGATTGGCCTGTGCAGATGACATCACCAACCTAATTCCATATATATTTATATATATTAAAGATTTCAGACTGCATACAGACGTGCATTATCTGAGCAATCAAGACACAAGAATCTATCCAGAATTGCAACAGCAGTTTCCACGACTGAATTTAGAAGACTTTACTTCTACCAATTGATTAGATGTTTCTGTCTATGGAGCCGATTGGCCTGTGCAGATGACATCACCAACCTAATTCCAATCGTAAAGGGGCCGAGGAATCTGTACCTGGTTTCAATCCAGTCTTTAAAGGAGATATAGAAGGTGCAGAACTCAGTCTCCAGAATCGGTTCAGTATCTTGGATAGCTCCTTTAAAGTTCGGATTAGAAACTGGAGTGGATCAACCACTATCATGAAACCTGCGTGAACAGCTTCCATTGCACCCTTTTTGTGGTTCTGGAGCTCTTAATGCTGGTTCAAATGATCAAGACCAGCACATCATATATTTTTCCCCCCAAGGCTGACAGCTCTTCTGGTGAAAGATATACTGAGATTAGCAATTAAAACATGAATAAGTATGTCTGATGATGAATACAGTTACAATCTAGTTTTGAAGGTGCTGGAAATTAGGATTTTTCCAAAAGAGAATAATTAACGAGAGAGCCCAGCTTTGGGGGTGGGGATGGGGTTAATTCATTTTTTAATCCAAATTTACCAAGACTCCCAAAACCTGAACAGGGGAGGAATTTATCAATTATTCAGTCCCTATGGACAACTACAAAATTTGTTCCCAATTGTTTTCAGGAGTTGCTAAACACCATGAAACTCAATGCAAAAGAAGAAAGAAAAAAATGACCAATTTGATAATTCCTCATTGAGTTTTAAGGTACGTCTGTATGCATTCTTGGCTTCTGAACTCAAGAATCTTGATATCGACTCAACATTTCCCCCCCACGTTCATTAAAACAAAAGTCTACATTGAGTACCACTATCCTGATCTTGAACATTCAGATTGCCCTTAAAGACTTCCTTTCCTCTAACGTTATTGGGGCATTACAGGCTGAACGTGGGCAAAGTCGTGACCACGGGAGCAGATTAATCCGAGTTTTGTGCATTCATCCTAGAGATTTGGGCTAGGCGTACAAAGGTCTTATTGAGATCCAGGTGAAAGAAGATGTTGGGGATCATACCTACATGCATAACCCCAGTCTCCCCTTAAGTAAGCCAGTCCTGCTTTCAAGGTATAATGTCTAGATCAGGCCTCTGGCTATGGAAATGTCATGGGTGGAGGTGGGAAGGAATGTCCTACTTATGTTCCGCTGAACTCAACAGAAGCTAAAGATCAGTGCTTTGCTCCTCTCTCACACACCACCCTTTCTATCACAAAGGTAGACATGAGATGGTGCTACCATAACCCTATGCCCTATGGCAATGGTCTCCAACCTTGGGCCTCCAGATGCTCTTGGACTACAACTCCCAGAAACCATCACCACCAACTCTGCAGGACAGGATTTCTGGGAGTTGAAGTCCAAGAACGTCTGGAGGCCCAAGGTTGGGGACCACTGCCCTATGGGGTGGGTGGGATGGAGGTGGGAAGGAATGTCCTACTTATGTTCAACAGAAGCTAAAGATTTGATCCTCTCTCACACACCGCCCTTTCTATCACAAAGGTGGACATGAGATGGCGCTACCAAAACCCTATGCCCTATGGGGTGGGTGGGAGTCAATCTTATGAGAGTCCCCTCGCTCCAAGAAGCTTCCCATCACACAACCGGTTGTGTCACTGAGTTTGCATCTAGTGTCGGAACATGACTTTATTTATTTATTTATTTATTTGATTTTTACCCCGCCCCTCTAGACCATGTCTACTCGGGGCGGCTTACAAAATAAAAGCAGACTGCCTTTCCATTCCTTGTTCAGACAATAGGACCCTAGTCTGAACGTTTTGTCAGTTATGCTAATAGTATGGAGATGAAGACCTTCCCTAATTATTTAGGGAAGCTTATGAACATCAGACCCTGAAGGCCTTGTGATAAATAAGGGTAGATGACAAAGGAGCCCCAAAGAGTCAGAAAAACATCTGTTGAGGTTAAGATCCTGTAGATCAGATACTCTTGCCTTCCCTGACATCCTTTCCAACTTCATTCTGATTCTCCACCTTTGGAGGCAATCTCACTCCCAAGAAGGACCTTGTGATCCGGTGGATCATGTCGGAAACGCTAACATTTGGGTGGAAGGTACACGTGGTGAATGTTTGCATTTTGGATAGCATGGGTTTATTAGGATGTTGGTTTGGAACATGACAAAATCAAGTCCCCTCCTGACTGAGTGGGAAATATATATATATTTGAGTAGCCCGTGTTATTGTTTTTTCATTGTTTCATGTATTTCTCTCTCTCTCTCTCTCTCGTTCCCCTGTCCATCTTTTGAGATAAATGCTCCAGAAACCTTGTGTTCAAATCTTGCGAACCTTTATTGATGGTTCTCGTTCAACTGATCATATTGCATGCACATTTACGATGACAAGAGAAAGCCAGATCACAAATAGTTTGCAAAAAGCAGAACTGTTTATAGCAAGTTGGCAGGTTCACAGCGGTGAGTTGATCATTTAAATTTTTTTTTAAAAAAAAAACTAAAGTGCCTTGCCGGTTTTCGTTTGTTTGTGTTTGGTTTTTTTTTGGCACGCACAGTACACATGAGAATATACCTATTCTTCAGCAAAAACTGCAGTTGGACAATTTTTTCGGCTTTGATTTATGGTAAATAGAAAAGAAAAACAACCTCAGGACGACCCCTGACAAACATCCCAACCGGTTAAACAGGACAACAGTATGTACACAGCAAACTGCAATTTTTTTTAAAAAAATCTTCTTCAAGCTATCTCAGAAAAGTGCAGCTTTACGTTCAATTTTAAGGGGTTTGAGGGGGTTTGTGGAGGACACCAGCATCACTGGCCATCCAAAACTTGATGTCCATCTTGCCATTCCATGTTTTATTTTAAACGTGTTGCTTGGGACCCAGTGAATTGCAACAAAAGATGGTCCTGGGTTTGGAAATGTAGATGGTGTCAGCCTAGCTTGAGAGATCCTCTTGAAAAACTGCAGTTTGCATACACAACAGTCATGTTCCAAAAAATTACTAAGCTGATGAAAGTACCAGATTCAGTCTACTCCATGGCTGCAGAACTTGTAAAATGCATATATAATTTGCGTGTGTGTATGTGTTTGTGTGTGTGCTATGAGTAGCAAGTGATTCCATAAAAATTATCATGGATTTTTCCCCCTCCCCACTAACTCTTGATCTACTGGATTTAAAATCTAAAGCAGCATAGGCGTGTAAATCTCTTGAACTGAATAATTCCACAACACAGATGTAAATTTTTTTATACACTTTGTTTTTTTTAAACTGGTACAAAGAATTTAACTTTTTTATTACTTTCTCCCTCTCTTTTTTTTTGGAAAAAAAGGAAAAAAAATAGAAACAGTGCTTTTTATTACCTTTTATTATTATTATCATCATCATTATCCTCCCATAATATAAAAGTCTGCAATGATATCAATAATTTATTATATGGAAGAAATATATAAAAAAAAACAATGCTTGTTCTTGATCTAACTAGTAGGTATTTCTTTTTATTTATTTATTTACCTCTCTCTCTTTTTTTAGTTTTTTTTTACTTGATCTAACTAGTAGGTATTTCTTTTTATTTATTTATGTATCTCTCTCTCTTTTTTTGGTTTTTTTTTTTATTTTTATTTTATTTATTTTAGTAGCCTAAACAACTAGTTATGGTTAGAGCTGAATACTGCCTGGTGGAATGAATTACGAGCTGTGCCTTTGGACAGCTTTTAATTAGATTTTTTTATGTACAGGTGCCCCTCTCTACCTAGTAGGTATTTCTTTTTATTTATTTATGTATCTCTCTCTCTTTTTTTGGTTTTTTTTTTTATTTTTATTTTATTTATTTTAGTAGCCTAAACAACTAGTTATGGTTAGAGCTGAATACTGCCTGGTGGAATGAATTACGAGCTGTGCCTTTGGACAGCTTTTAATTAGATTTTTTTATGTACAGGTGCCCCTCTCTACACGCTCCCACCCCGATCCCCGTTAACAAAATTAACAACATAACCTTTGGCTTTGAATAAAGAGTGCGCGTTTAAGACAAGTTGATATCTGGCTATGGGTGCAGTGGGGGGGGTTCAGCGTTGCATTTCTATCGGGCTGAACCCCCCCTCCGCACCCCCATCACCTTCTCGCTTATCCTCTCTCCCTCCCGTTTTGAATAAACAAAACAAATGTTCTATGCAGGAAAAAAGAAAAACATGTCACACTCTTACAAAACAAGTGACAGAGTCCCAGTAGCTTAATATTCAGCATATATAATTCATTTACATGATATAGCAGTCTTGATTGTGGCCCCCAAACAGTATTTTTTTTTTCATTTCTAGCAGCTTTCTAGTTCAACCACAACAATGAAAATAATAATAATAATAATAATATAATAATAATTAATAATAATAA